AAAAAAAAAAAAAAAAAAAAAAAAAAAGAACATATACAGGAGGACACTCCTGAAAAATTATGTTTGTCCTTCCTGGCAGACTTTTTAACCTTACACTTGATCTTAGCCAAAAGGCTGAGAAGTGATGTTTTTAAGCTTAAAAAGCCAGTATCTTAATTGCTTTTTCCACACAGTCTTCAAAGAAAATTGCTGTGGTCATTATCAATGGGTGGTGTGTGGAGATTTAATTGAGGACTTAGAAGCAGTTCTAGTGAGTGCTTGCTAGTGTTAGAGAGGCTACTTAGAGAACACTGAAGATGGAATTGGATGTGTGGGAACAGAGAGGAAAAACCAAGAGAAGCAACAAAGATGGCAAAATGTACTCTTATTTTATTGCTATCATCTGCTTTAAGTGTAGTTTTTATTTATTTATTTTTTATTTTTAGAGGTAGAGTCTCATACTGTTTCCCAGGCTGCAGTGGAGTAGCATGATCATGGCTCACTGCAGCCTTAAATTCCTGGACTCAAGCGATTCCCCCCACCCCAGCCTCCTAAGTAGCCAGTACTACAGGTGTGAACCACCAGGCCTGGCTAAGTTTTGTTTTGTTTTTAAATAGAGACAGACGTCTCACTATGTTACCCAGGCTGGTCTTGACCTCCTGGGTTCAAGGGATCCTCCTACCTCAGCTTCCCGGAGTGCTGCGATTATAGGCATGAGCCACCTTGCTTGACCTAAATGAAGTTTAAAAACCTTCTTTAAGGTCTCCAACTTCCCCTTCATTTAAAAAAGAAAAAAAAAGACTTTATTGAGATTTAATTCACATATCACAAAATTCATCGCTTGAGTTCAGGAATTGAAGGTTTCAGTGAGCCATGATCATGCTACTGTACTTCAGCCTGGGCAACAGTGTGAGACTCTACCTCTAAAAATAAAAAAAGGCCGAGTGTGGTGGCTCACACCTGTAATCCCAGCACTTTGGGAGGCCGAGGCGGGCAGATCACTTAAGGTCAGGAGTTCGAGACCAGCCCGACCAATGTGGTGAAACTCTGTCTCTATTAAAAATACAAAAAATTAGCCAGGCGTGGTGGCAGGCACCTGTAACCCCAGATTCGTGGGAGGCTGAGACAGGAGAATCACTTGAACCTGGAAGGCGGAGGTTGAAGTGAGCCGAGATCGCACCACTGCACTCCAGCCTGGGTGACAGAGCTAGACTCGGTCTCAAAAAAAAAAAAAAGTGTGTGTGTGTGTATAAAATATTAATATAATTTATTATACTCATACTAATTTAATAATTTTAGTATGTTTACAGAGTTGTCTAACTGTCGCCAAAATCAAAGTTTTGAACATTTTCATAACCCCAGAAAGAAAGCCTGAACCCACCGAAATTCAGTTTCCATCTGCCCCTCTCCCAGCTCTAGGTCACTACTGATTTTTGCATCTATAGATTTGCCTATTCTGGATGTTTCATATAAATGGAATTACGTAATATGTAGTTTTTTGTGACTGGCTTCTTTCACTTAGCATAATGTTTTTAAGATTCATCTGTATTGTAACAGCAATACTTTATTCTTTTTTATGAGTGAGTAATTTATTGTATGGATATAGGACATTTTGTTTATTCATCAGTTAGTTGGTAGATTCATTGAGGTTTTTTTAATTTTAATTTTAATTTTTTTTTGAGACAGGGTATTTTTGTTGCCCAGGCCGGAGTGCAGTGGCATAGTCACTGCAGCCTCAACCTCCTGGGCTCAAGTGATCCCCCCTACTTAGGAGTCCCACCCTTAGACTACCAAGTAGGTGGGACTATAGGCACACGCTACCATGCCCAGCTAATTTTTATTTCTTTATGTATTTTTTGTAGAAACAGGGTCTCTCTATGTTGCCCAGGCTGATCTCGAACTCCTATATTCAAGTGACCCTAGGAGGCCTTGGCTTCCAAAGTGCTGGGATTACAAATATGAGCCATCATTGAGTTTAAGAATAGTCTAAAGGAAATTATCCTAGAGGTCGAGACCCTGAAAATTGAAGAGAATGGAAAAAAGGATTGAACAACTTTCTTTTTAAAGGTTGGCCATAGTGGTCTTAATGACTAGATTTTAAAATCAGATATAACTGTAAAATATTACTTGTAAGTTATTGTATAACATAGTTTAGATAACGGAACTACATTATTCTCACAGTATCTTCAGTAATTGGCCTTTCCTTTCCATGACAGGAAACTCTGAGTACATTGGAGTATGCTCATAGAGCAAAGAACATATTAAATAAGCCTGAAGTGAATCAGAAACTCACCAAAAAAGCTCTCATTAAGGTAATTGTGAATTATTATAGAGTAATGTAATCTTATTTGACAAATGTGAAAATAAGAAACTGAAGCGGGAGATAATTATTAAACAAGATTTGAAATTGCCCATGGAAGCGTTTTTATGTAGTAATTTAAACGAAGTATCTTACATGTTAACATATTTGTGTTAACCCATTGTAGTTGTTATCCTCATTGATGCTCAAATTGGCTCATCTCTGGCCAGGGGTATATTAGTCTGTTTTCATGCTACTGATAAGGACATAACCCAGACTGGGCAATTTACAAAATAAAGAGGTTTAATAGACTTAATGGTTCCACATGGCTGGGGAGGCCTCATAATCATGGCAGAAGACAAGGAGGAGCAAGTCACATCTTAGGTGGATGGCAGTGGACAAAGAGAGAGCTTGTTTGGAGAAACTCCCCTTTTTAAAACCATCAGGTCTCTTGAGACCCATTTACTATCATGAGAAGAGCATGGGAAACATCTGCCCCCATGATTCACTCATCTCCCACTAGGTGCCTCCCACAACCTGTGGGAATTATGGGATCTACAAGATGAGATTTGGGTGAGGACACAGAGGGGGTCCTCTTTAAGTGGCTTGAGTCCTTTTCATTAGCCCAGTAGGCTTTGCTTAGCTTCTTTCCTACCTTGACAAAATGTTCGGTGTTCATCTTGACTATTTCCTGCCTCAGTCCTGGAATCAGATGTTTTTCTAAGGAATCCTGGTTCATTTTAGTGTGAAATAGTGCTACTAACCTGGGTACTGGGTACTAACCTGGTTGTGTTTTTTCTTGGGAAGTCTATATTTTTAGAATGAGTGCATTTAAAGGAGCTTTGAAAGACCTTTTTTTTATTTTTATTTTTACTGAGACAGTTTAGCTCTTGCTGCCCAGGCTGGAGTACAATGGCACAATCTTGGCTCAATGCAACCTCCACCTCCCAGGTTCAAGTGATTCTCCTGCCTCAGCCTCCTGAGTAGCTGGGATTACAGGCACGTGCCTCCAAACCCAGCTAATATTGTATTTTCAGTAGAGATGGGGGTTTCTCCATGTTGGTCAGGCTGGTCTTGAACTCCTGACCTCAAGTGATCGTCTGCCTCGGCCTCCCAAAGTTCTGGGATCACAGGTGTGAGCCACTGCACGCAGCCAAAAGACTTTATTTCAAACAAATTAACACTGATTTAAAAATAGGGTTATAACTTTTTATCATACTTCTTTATGTTTTAAAAGACATAAAAAGGCTAACTTTGTTTTATTTGATGCATGTCCTTCCCAAACTGAATGAAAAAAGTACTAAACTGACACCTACAACATTCCTTTTGTGTAGGAGTATACGGAGGAGATAGAGCGTTTAAAACGAGATCTTGCTGCAACCCGCGAGAAAAATGGAGTGTACATTTCTGAAGAAAATTTTAGGTAAGCCCTTGGCTATGGAGTTAATTTCCAAGAATAAGCATTTTCTGATAACAGGCTGTTTGAAGTAAAACTTACTTATGTAGCAGTAAGTAAAATCATTATACCAAGTGCCAGTAAATACTTCATTCTCTGTGTGTGTGTGTGTGTGTGTGTGTGTGTGTGTTTCCTTTTGAGACAGGGTCTTGCTCTGTCACCCAGATTGGAGTGCAGTGGCATGATCTTGGATTGCTATAGCCTCAATCTCCTGGGCTCAAGCAATCTTCTTGCCTCAGCCTCCCAAGTAGATAGGACTAAAGGCATGTGCCACCACACCCAGCTAATTTTTGCATTTCTTGTAGAGACAGGGTTTTGCCGTGCTGGCATCCATTTTGTTTTGACATTAACAAGTAGCTATCAAACACTTTTTAGAAAATCTTTTATTAACTTTTTATTTTTAAATCATTATACATTCACATGAAGGTGCAAAAAGAGTGCAAGAGAGGTTTTATGTATTCTTCAGCCAGTTTTCCTCAATGGTTACCTCTTATGTAATTATAATACAAGGACCGGTGCTGTGGCTCATGCCTGTAATCCCAGCACTTTGGAGGCGAAAGTAGGTGGGTCACCTGAGGTCGGGGGTTCAAGACCAGCCTAACCAACATGTTAAGGGAATTTGCATTCACAGAAGAATCTTTGTCATTTAAGCCTAATGTGAAGTATAAAATTGTTGGTTGTTATCAAAGAAATAGATGAGCAAATAAAGGCATTTACTTCTGAAATGAATACTCAAGAAATCAGACCCATTAAAGTGGTTTTGGAAGACCTGTGAGCTTTGTGCTTGAAAAAAGCATTACTCTATTTTATTTACTTTTTATGACATTTTTTGACTTTGACTTCATCTTCTAATATTGTTGTTGAATTTTATTTTTGCTGTCAAATTTTTAGTTTCTAAAAACTCTTGTTCCCTGTCATCCCTGTCCCTCCTTTTAAAAAATATGGCATCTTCTTATTTTATAAATATAGTCCTTAACTCAAAAACATTATTAATGTTATTGAAGTTTTCTTTTCTGTTTTTCTTTCCTTTGGGATCCTTTTTTTTCCCTCTGTTGTGATGTCTGTCATTTGTATTTATTTTCTTCAAATGTCTAGTGATTTTTGGCTGGCAGTTAAGATAGATTAGAAGCTTTGTACATGGGTGAGGATTACGGACCTGTGAGTTCATTATAGATGAAAAAGTGGTGATCTCAGTGTTAAGTCTGGGCTTCTATCAGATGTCATTCTTTGTTGGAGTTTTTTCTTTTGGGCAAGACATCAATCTTTCCTGAGAAGACTTGCCCAGTGTGCTTGGAGATTTTTCTGGCTGCTGCTATTTTTGGATTAAAGTGAGTAGAGGGGGCTAAGTATCCCACCATTAGTATGTAGAATCACACTTGAATGCTCATTTCTTTTTTTTTTTTTTTNTTTTTGAGATGGAGTTTTGCTCTTGTTTCCCAGGCTGGAGTGCAATGGTGCGATCTTGGCTCACCACAACCTCTGCCTCCCGGGTTCAAATGATTCTCCTGCCTCAGCCTCCTGAGTAGCTGCGATTACAGGCATGTGCCATCATGCCCGGCTAATTTTGTATTTTTAGTAGAGACGGGGTTTCTCCATGTTGGTCAGGCTGGTCTCAAACTCCTGACCTCAGGTGATCCTCCTGCCTCGGCCTCCCAAAGTGCTGGGATTACAGGCATGAGCCACCCTGCCTGACCTTAAATACTCATTTCTAGTCCCCAAACCTTACTTCTACAATCCGTGGTGTCTAGTGAAAGTGAACCTGGAAATTCTGCTGCAGTCCCTATAGACTAGTGGCTCTCAACGGGAATGGTGTTGGGGGAGTGGTGGTGGTGGATGGTTTTGTCCCCCAGAGGACATTTGGCAGAGTCCAGAGACATTTTTTATTGTCATGACTTGGATGGTACTAAATATCCTGAAATGTATAGGACATCCCCGCAACAAAGAATTATCTGATGCAGTAGTGCTGAGGCTGAGAAACTCTGCTCTAGAGAGTAATCCTTTGTTCTCATAAGGGTTATGTGGTGGTGTGAGAATGGTGTTTGTGCCAGTGTTTGGGTGTGTTGCAGCAGCAGGGAGTGTAATTACTCTGTATACATACTTAATTAATTAAGTCTCAGTTTTTAGCCCCTAATCTTACCCCTTCCCTCTAACATACATAATGCCTTTAAGTTCCAAATCTTTCTAGCATCTTTGTGGCATATTTGTATTCTGTATCCCTGGTAATAGACACTTAGATTATATTCCCTCCTCTCTCTACTTTGAGTTATAGTCCTCTGTTAACTTTCTAGCTTCTCAAATTTGGTACACACATGCTTTTCCCCTCATAGGTAAGGATTCTTAGTTTCAGAATTGAGTGCAAGAGAAAAATATTTCGTTTATAAAACACAGACAAGGAATATAATTTGTTTTTTGCAATTTGAATTTATTGCTTATTGATAGGTATCAAGTGACACTTAAGTATCAAGTGATGGTGATAAATGTTGGAAATGAGTTTGTGTAGCTGCCACAATTGTGTTAGAATAAATTTTGTAAGAGTTAGAAAAAAAATATTAACTGTTAAACTCATGTTAAACTTCATTTTAGAGTCATGAGTGGAAAATTAACTGTTCAAGAAGAGCAGATTGTAGAACTGATTGAAAAAATTGGTGCTGTTGAGGAGGAGCTAAGTAGGGTAAGCATTTAAAATGATATTTAATGTTATGTGAAAAGCAAACATTAAAAGAAAATTTTAGAATGTGAAAGACTTAATATTTTTTCCTTCAAGATTTGTTTTTTTTTTTTTTTGGGGGGGGACGGAGTTTCGCTCTTGTTACCCAGGCTGGAGTGCAATGGCGCGATCTCGGCTCACCGCAACCTCCGCCTCCTGGGTTCAGGCAATTCTCCTGCCTCAGCCTCCTGAGTAGCTGGGATTACAGGCACGCACCACCAGCCCAGCTAATTTTTTGTATTTTTAGTAGAGACGGGGTTTCACCATGTTGACCAGGATGGTCTCGATCTCTTGACCTGGTGATCCACCCGCCTCGGCCTCCCAAAGTGCTGGGATTACAGGCTTGAGCCACCGCGCCCGGCCAAGATTATTATTATTGTTATTTTTTTTTTTTTAGACGGAGTCTTGCTCTGTCACCCAGGCTGGAGTGCAGTGGCACATTCTTGGCTCATTACAGCCTCTCCTTCTTGGAGTCAAGTGATTCTCCTGTCTTAGCCTCCTGGGTAGCTGAGACTCAGCCTCCTGAGTAGCTGGAATTACAGGTGTGTGTCACCATGCCCGGCTAAATTTTTTTGTATTTTTAGTAGAGACGGGGTTTCATCATGCTGGCCAGGCTGGTCTTGAACTCCTGACCTTGTGATTTGCCAGCCTCAGCCTCCCAGAGTGCTGGGATTACAGGCGTGAGACACCGCGCATGGCCCCATCTTTAAGATTTTATTTTGCTGACCCTGATACTGAAAGTAAGTTATATCATTATTTTTTACTATCATTAATCACATCAAAAAAAGCTGGCAGCTTATATTAATCAAACATTACAAGAAATTAACTGAATTGTTTGATTTTATTATTAAAACTACAAAATAGTGAATGCTGAGGCATTTTTGTTAACATATCAGATGAAGGAATACAGATATTGGGAGAGACTGGATATTAAATAAATGTAATATAACTAGGATATGCAAGAGACCTGACCTTTTAGTGCCACCCTCATATTAATACCTTTATTTATTTTTAATTATTTTTTAGAGACAGGGTCTTGTTCTGTTGCCTGGGCTACATATAGTACAGTGGCATAATCATAGCTAACTGCAGCCTCAGACTTCTGGTCTCAAGCAACCCTCTTGCTTCAGCCTCCTGAATAGCTGGAACTTCAGACATGCACCACCATGCCCAGCTAATTATTTTTTTGTAGAGATAGAGTCTCGCTATGTTGCCCAGGCTGGTCTCAAACTCTGGGGCTCAAGCGATCCTCCTGCCTTGGCCTCCCAAAGTGCTGGGATTAGAGGTGTGAGCCACCTTGCTGGACCACATTAACACTCTTATATTCAAATCCATTGACAATGTTGAAGGACCCTGAATTAATAGTAATACACCAAACCTGTTATTTAATCTCAAAAGTGTTGAGTAAGATTATAGGAAGAAACCAGATGCCATAGTTGTCCTAACCTATGGGGTAACTTGTTAGAGCTGCGTGGAAATAATTTGTTTCATTTTTCTAATCTTATATTATGAACTAGTCAGATACCTTGCCAACCAGATCAGTATTTTTTTTTTTAATTCTATGTTATATTTAGGTTACAGAGTTGTTTATGGATAATAAAAATGAACTTGACCAGTGTAAATCTGACCTGCAAAATAAAACACAGGAACTTGAAACCACTCACAAACATTTGCAAGAAACTAAATTACAACTTCTTAAAGAAGAATACATCACATCAGCTTTGGAAAGTACTGAGGAGAAACTTCATGATGCTGCCAGCAAGGTTTGTCTCTTGCATTGATTTGTACTCACATTAAATAAATTAGAGAATGTGTAGAAGTAATTTTCTGTGCTTAAGCATTAATTGTGATAATCTGTTTATTCACTCCAAATGGTATTTCTCTCCACTTAAAAAACATTATTTTCCCATTTCATCCATATTTTTCTTGGTGGAGATGTCGACTTATGAAAAAATACTCCTGCTCCTGGAGTTTTGGAAATAGAACATAACTTTATAATATATTTTGTAGACATTTAGAATAGTGATACTGGGATGTATTTTCTTTGTGGGGATGATTGAACTTAATTAGTCATTAAGAATTTAGTATGTTCTAGTAATGAAAGATGTGGGAGGTATTTAATTTTTTATTAGTTATACTTTTTTTTGAGACAGAGTCTTGCTTTGTTGCCCAGGCTGGAGTGCAGTGGCATGATCTTGACTCACTGTAAACTTTGCCTCTCAGGCAAAAGCGATTCTCCTGCCTCAGCCTCCCAAGTAGCTGGGATTACAAATGCCTGCCACTACAACCAGCTAATTTTTGTATTTTTAGTAGAGATGGGGTTTCACCATGTTGGCCAGGCTGGTCTCAAACTCCTGACCTCTGGTGATCTGCCGGCCTAGGCCTCCCAAAATGTTGGGATTACAGGCGCGAGCCACCATGCCCCGCCATTAGGTGTACTTTTGAGAAAATAGTAGAACATAGAAGGGAAAAAAGTTCTGAGGAAGCATAATTACTGCAATAACTGACAAAATCGGTTTTCCTTGCTTGCATAGATGGCTATAGGAAGGGAAATAAACATTACTGGGCATCTGGATAAATTAGCATGAGTTAAAGCATTTTTCCTGATACAATGTCTAAAATTTACTAGTTCTTTTTTTTTTTTTTGGAGACAGAGTCTCTGTCCCCCAGGCTGGAGTACAGTGGCACAATCTCAGCTCACTGCAACCTCTGCCTTCTAGGTTCAAACGATTCTCCTGCCGCAGCCTCCTGAGTAGCTGGGATTACAAGCATGTACCACCACACCTGGCTAAATTTTGTATTTTTAGTAGAGATGGGTTTCACCATGTCGGCCAGGCTGGAAAATTTACTAGTTCTTACCAATATAAATCCTTATGTAGATATTTTCATTAGATTCCTTTTGCCATATTCATTTTGTCAAAACTTATTTTTAAAAATATAGCTGCTTAACACAGTTGAAGAAACTACAAAAGATGTATCTGGTCTCCATTCCAAACTGGATCGTAAGAAGGCGGTTGACCAACACAATGCAGAAGCTCAGGATATTTTTGGCAAAAACCTAAATAGTCTGTTTAATAATATGGAAGAATTAATTAAAGATGGCAGCTTAAAACAAAAGGCCATGCTAGAAGTACATAAGACCTTATTTGGTAAGTTCAGGCTGTTCTGTCCTAGTCTTTATTTATCAGTGTGATACTGATTTCAAAACTGGTAATTTAATTTTGTGAAACATAGGTGACAGTGTCACCAATACTCTTTACCACGCACAAACTATTTGTTCAGGCTGAAGATTAATGCTTTTACTGTTTGTTTGTTTGTTTTTTTTGTTTTTTTTTGAGATGGAGTCTCACTCTGTCACCCAGGCTGGAGTGCAGTGGCACGATCTCAGCTCACTGCAACCTCCGCCTTGCGGCTTCAAGCAATTCTCTTGCCTCAGCCTCCCGAGTAGCTGGGATTACAGGCACGTGCCACCACACCTGGCTGATATTTGTGTTTTTAGTAGAGATAGGGTTTCACCATGTTGGTCAGGCTGGTCTCGAGCTCCTGACCTTGTAATTCGCCTGCCTCAGCCTCCCAAAGTGCTGGGATTACAAGTATGAGCCACCTTGCCTGGCTTCTTGTTTTTTGTTTGTTTTTAGAACTGTCTTTGAATTAAAACAAATCTTAGGGTTCCCTCCTTCTGTTTTCTTTAAAATGTTATGTTTATTAAATAACATCTTTAAATAACTTTTGTTATTTAATATGTTAAATTAACATAAATATGTTTATGTTTATTAAATAATTTATGTAATAAATAACATAGGTTACTTAATAAACATAAACATTTACACATTAGAAGTAAAAGTCTTCTTTATCCCTGACTCTGGCTTCTCACCGTGGCTCATTTACCATAGTGTTATTGTTAAATTTCTTGGGCCTTTTTCTAGAAATTTTCTGTGCATAAACATTCTGCAACTTTTTTTTTTCCCTTCTGGGCAGGTATATCTTGATGGTTTGCTATATTGTCAGAATATGTTTGTGTCTCATTGTTTTTAACTATTGTTATCTCCCTTTAGAAAAAAGTATATTTATTTAGTGTGAAATATTATCCTCATTATAGAGAATTTGGACATCCAGGAATATAAAAATTTTAAAAATAATCTAGCCTTTAGTCTCACTAAGCCAAGCACCACACATTTTGGTATTGATTTCTAGTTTTTCTTTTCTTCTATAAACTTACCATAATTCTGTATATTATTTTTAGTTAGATTAATTTTAGAATATTCTAATTCTTTGTATACTATGAATATTGTTATGGGTCTGATACACTTACAAATATGTTAAGGGCTTACTGTGCACTATAGAAAATGTATAATGTATATTTAAGTTCTTTTAAGCTCATTATTACAGTTTTTACAAGAAGGGTATATTTTTGCCAACTTCTTTGAAATGGTTTGAACTATATTTAATATATTTATGTCAAAGTTTACATCTTTCTTTTTTTTGTTTTGTTTTGTTACAGGTAATCTGCTGTCTTCCAGTATCTCTGCATTAGATAGCATTACTACAGTAGCACTTGGATCTCTCACATCTATTCCAGAAAATGTGTCTACTCATATTTCTCAGATTTTTAATATGATACTAAAAGAACAATCATTAGCAGCACAAAGTAAAACTGTACTACAGGAATTGATTGTTAGTACATCCTTTTGAAGGGTTACGTTTGATAAGTATTTGATAAAATATTTTGAAGGGTTACATTTACATTGATAAGTCTTCATAAACAATGTTAACTGCTGTTCTTTTAAGCTTTGCTAGACACAGTGGTAGACATGTCACTATGAGAGAGTATGTTTATATTCTATAGAACAAACTTTTGAAACTTTTTTCACTCATGTCTTATAATAGGAGTAGGAGTTATTAGTGAGACTTCTAATGACTAAAGGGCAAGTTTAGCACCACATGATATCAAGGGACTTGTTAGTTGGCCCAGAAATTGGTAACTCTTTCCCCAGGGGTCCTGGACCCAACCAGAAGGGGCCATTGAGTAGTTACTTTTAAAACTACAGTAATATGTGATGGTAATAGTGGTGCAAGAAAAGTATCTTTTAGAATTCTGGGAACACATAACAATTCTTACGGTTAGATCTGTGTGGCTTTTCCCTTCTGGGCCCTAACTGTAAATCTTTTCTCCACAGTTCTATGGAAGTCACTTACCTAATTGCACTTAATATTACTCCTTTATACTTGATTTTTATATACTCTATATTTTATAGTTGTATGGTTTGTCTAGGAAGTTCTTAGCCATATAATGTATTTGTTTTCTTTGTGCAGGGTCTTTGCCTCCCTTTTTCAGTTTAAAGATATTTCTTAAACATTTTCCAAGTAAATACTATGTATGTTCGCTGACACTTTGCCTCAGTTCAGTGCTAATGACATTATTTTATAGGTTTTCTCTGTCACCCAAATTTGGCAACGTTAAAAGATATCCTGTCAGTACTAACTTTTCAAATATTGATTCATTCATTAAATGGTGGTCTGTGTATACAGGCATACTTCAGCGATATTGCAGGTTTGCTTCCAGACCACTGCAATAAACCGAATATTACAATAAATCGAGTCATGAATTTTTTGGTTTCCCAGTGCATATTAAGGTTATGTTGGCCAGGCGCAGTGGCTCACGCCTATAATTCTAGCACGCACCTGGTGGGACAATCAGAACACAAACAACGTTTATCAATTAAGTGTGCTGTTTTATAGGGGTACAGTTTATGGTACCCCAAGGCAATTATAACATCAAAGATCATTGATCACAGTATATAATGAAAATAGTTTGAAATACTGCAATTGTTACCAAAATGTGATGCGGAGACAGAAAGTGAGCACATGATATTTGAAAAAAGTCACTGATAGACTTGCTTAAGTTAGGGTTGCCACAAAATTTCAATTTGTAAAAATTTAGTATCTGTGACACATAGTAAGGTGAAGCACAATAAAATAAGCTATGCCTGAATTGATGTCTTTCTACTTACCAAGTTAAAATTTTTGCTTGAATCAAAAGAAGAGAGGAATGTTGCTCTCACAAAATTAGTTGAAATTGGTATGATAGCTCTTCTTTCTAAAAGAATACCAGTAGGCCTGTAAGTATTTCTAATGTACATTAGTACATTACAGTGGCTCATGCCTGTAATTCCAGCACTTTAGGAGACCAAAGTGGGCAAGAGTTTGAGGTTAAGAGTTCATTACCTGAGGTCAGGAGTTTGAGACCAACCTGGCCAACATGGCAAAACTCTGTCTCTACTAAATACAAAAATTAGCTGGATATGGTGGCAGGCACCTGTAATCCCAGCTACTTAGGAGGCTGAGTCAGGAGAATTGCTTGAACCCTTGAGTCAGAGGTTGCAGTGAGCCAAGATCACGCCATTGCATTCCAGCCTGGGCAATAAGAGTGAAACTCCATCTCAAAAAAAAGAAAAGAAAAGAAAAAAGAAATTGTTCTATATTTTTACTGGGCTTGAAAAAAGACAAATTATTGTATTTATTGTAATAGAAGAAATTATTGTATTTTTGTATTGATTTATCAATGTGGACTAAAGAATGGAGAATGGGGCTGGGTGCGGTGGCTCATACGTGTAATCCCAGCCCTTTGGGAGTCTGAGGTGGGCAGATCACGTGAGGTCAGGAGTTTGAGACCAGCCTGGCCAACATGATGAAACCCCATCTCTACTAAAAATACAAAAATTAGCTAGGTGTGGTGGTGCACACCTATAATCCCAGCTACTCTGGAGGCTGAGGTGGGAGAATCACTTGAACCCAGGAGGCGGAGGTTGCAGTGAGCCGAGATCGTACCACTGTACTCCAGCCTGGGAGACTCCCATCTCAAAAAAAAAAAAGAATGGAGAATGGAAATGTAGAATTTTAATGTGAATGTTTAGCTACCAAAATATTTAAAATATCATTTAGACAGGTTTATGGAAGTGAAAATATTTTAAAGACCTATTTGTTTATTTTTAAAACTAGAATGTACTCAAGATTGATCTTCTGAGTTCACTGGAAACGATTTTATCCCCCACTGTGGTGTCTATATTGAAAATCAATAGTCAACTAAAGCATATTTTCAAGACTTCATTGACAGTGGCTGATAAGGTAACAAACACTATGTTCTTGATATCTCAAAGTTGATGTGTTGTTTAAGAAGGAAACTCATTTTTTTTTCCTTCAAAGATAGAAGATCAAAAAAAGGAACTAGATGGCTTTCTTGGTGTATTGCGTAACAATCTACACGAACTACAAGAAAATACCATTTCTTCCTTGGTTGAATCACAAAAGCTATGTGGAAACCTAAGTGAAGACCTGAATACAATAAAGCAAACCCATTCACAGGTATGTTGGTTAGCTGACGTGGGGAGTACAGAAAGAGAGTTTTATGATGATTTGATATGACTTGATAATCTATGTTATGCAATATGAATACTGTAAAACATGAAACCTGAAAATACCATAGTTACTGTTGCTTATAACAGTAATTTTTGTAAAACAGTTGAGAATACTTCTCTTAATATTTGAAGTTTTGCTATCCCATATAGAACCACAATATGACAAAACAGCCCTTTTATCATGGACTGGATGGCATGGATAGTTGTCTTTCATAAACCAAGCCCTACTTTCTCTTATTTCTGTCTCACTGATAGACATTTAAAGCATAGTAAATTGATACAATTTTTAATTCTTATTGATTATAAATTTAATTCATGATTTATCTTCCCTGTAAACTGTTCCTCATTATATGAGGCTTTAAACCAAAATCAAGCCATCAAACCGTAATCTATAAATATCGGATATATGAAAAACAGCTTCTGGCATTCTTAAGACTTTAATAATGACTGAAGTTTTATTAAACGAGCCTATTGTGATACGACAGAACTCTTATCATAGTTAACATTTATTGAGCAATTCACTGTGTTTATTCCTCCCATCAATGTAGATATAAATTCTATTACTAGCCAGTTTTCTAATGAGGAAAACTGAGACCCTGTGAGCATCTAATAGTGTGTAGATCATCTTAGAGAAGCTGGTGGTGATTATACTGCCTGAAAAGCATCCGTGTTTGAATGTCTCTTCTATGGTTTTTTGGCAATTTAAAATTGCAGCATTTTCTCTTACATCTGCATAGGGTATTTGCCTTAAACCTGTTGAGAAATTTTTAGGTGTATATTCTTTTATTTATTTATTTATTTATTTATTTTTGAGTTGGAGTCTCTCTCTGTCGCCAGGCTGGAGTGCAGTGGTGCGATCTCGGCTCACTGCAACCTCCGCCTCCCGGGTTCAAGCAATTCTCCTGCCTCAGCCTCCCGAGTAGCTGGGGCTACAGGCGCACGCCACCACACCCAGCTAATTTTTGCATTTTTATTAGAGACAGGGTTTCACCATGTTGGCCAGGATGGTCTCGATCTCTTGACCCCATGATCCTCCCACCTCGGCCTCCCAAAGTGCTGGGATTACAGGTGTGAGCCACCGTGCCTGGCCCTTTTTAGGTGTATATTCTAAGGCTGATCCTTTTTTATAAATTTGCTGTTTTGAAATGCTTAAAATTGGTAGGCAGCTGTTTAAAAAAACAAAACAAAACCATTCTGATCTGAAAAGTATCTTAGCATGGATAGTTTGGTTTCCCTGGCTTTAAGAAAGCAAGTTCACTATGTGAATTATTTCTTAGGTTTTCCAGAACTTGAAATGAGCACCACTAAAATAAATAATTTGTAAAACTTTGAACACATTTACATGTAGATAAATCTGATAATAATACCTGCATTATCATTCAAATTATTAATCTGATAATACCTTTGAGACTAGTAAAAATACTGACAGACTTTATTCATAATCAGAATGTTAGATATGTATTGTCAGGTGATGTATTATTCAGAAATACTGGCCAACCAGCAGACTGAACAGTGAATAAGTATGTTAGATGCATTTTCAGCTCTTCCTTGGTCCTTGTGATGGCTTCTTCATTTTGCAATGTAGCATGTTAGATGCCTCTAAGAGCTTGTTTTCAAAGATGTAAAATATGATCAAAGATAAGACTATTTACATTTTGTTAATATGATCCAACTAAGTTCTGTAAAATTTTTTAGCTCCAGTAATTGATAATAATTTTGGATTACTTGACCTGTAAGTATATCATATTAATTTTTCCTTCTAGTAGTGTTATCAGTTAAAAAGCAACTATATATATATTTATCTGTCAAAGTTGGTCTTACACATAATATGATATATGGGGCTATTTGATTCGTTTTGAGGTACACTGAAAGTAATTTGTTACAGCTAAAATAGTGACGTTTGCTATTTATTTACTTTTTTAAAAACCCTGGCTGGGTATGATAGCTGACATCTGTAATCCCAGCACTTTGAGAGGCTGAGGCAGGGTGATCACTTGAGGCTAGGAGTTCAAGACCAGCCTGGTCAACATAGCAAGACCACGTCTCTACAAAAAAAAAGTTTAAATTGGCCAGGCATGCCGGCTCATGCCTGTAGTCCCAGCTACTTGGAGGCTGAGGTAGGAGGATTCCTTGTGCCAGGAGATTGAAGCTGCAATGAGCCTTGATTATGCCAATGTACTACAGCTTGGGCAACAGAGTGAGACCCTGTCTCTCTTTTTTTTTTTTTTTT